GCCTCCCTCAACAGGTCATCATACAGGGCGACCAATGCCGTCTCTGTACCATGGCGCAGCCTGAAGCCCGACTGAAATAGATCCAGGGCATCTGTTTCATCCAGGAGTGCCTGAATCTGATCTGCCACCACCCTCTCCACCACTTTGCTCATGAAGGAAACATTGGTGACGGGCCTATAATTGCCAATTTCGTCCGCCGCCAAATTTGATTTCTTTCTTATGGGCCTAATGAGGGGGGAACCTGCCCTCAAGGAAAGACCCATTTATTATCGCTGTGGCCCATTCAGTTGTTTTCGGCCTGGCTGCTTTGATTAGCCAGGCCGGGCAAGGGTCCAAGGAGGAGGTGGTGGCCCAACAGCGATCAAGCACCCTGGTCACAGAGTCAGGCGTTACTGGCTGAAAAGAATCGAAAATAACCGGGCAAGGCGGAGCGCTAGACATCTCAGCTCGATTCACTACGTTCAAAAAAGGAGAGAGCTCCCGGCGGATGGCCTCCACTTTAGATTTAAAAAATGCTGCAAATTGGTCCGGTGTAAGACTAGGGGGAGGCCCATCACCCGGGCCAATTCCGGATAGGTGGCGCACTATACGGAAAAGCTCCGCCTGCTGGTTGGACGCTTCGCTTATCCGGTTAGCGAAGAATGATCTACATGCAGCCTTCACATGGCAGTGATACCCAGGTGTAGGGAACGATAAGGAGAGGAAATTGTGCCCTGCTTCTTGCCCCAATAGTTTTTTTTTTAAATATTTTTTTTGGCTGGGAGGGTTATAACATCACTTAAAAGAGTAAAAACATTTTGAAATGCTTCTGTGCCCCTGGGCATGCGCAGAGCAGACAGGCTCTTTCCAGTCCAGCCCAGCCCTTCGAGAAGCCCTGCCCTACCACCACGGGGAGGGTTCTTGTTTGGATTTTCAGTCCTACACAACAGGATTGGGTTGTCTGTTTTGCAAATTATCATTTTATTCCCACTGTTTCCAAAATTCTAACTAAATCTAACTTCTTTGTTTCTTATGTATTCAATTTTCTCCAATGAGCTCAAAGTGGCATACATGGCTCATTTTACCCACACTTTATTCTTACAACTATAACTCTCTGAGGTATGTCAGCTAAGGGTGTGGTTATATGTTGAAAAATTGCTAAATTTGTGTCAGGTTTAGCACACTTGAAATTGATTTTAAAAAACTGTTTAAACAACATACAGGTAAAGACACATTTTAGGTGACAAAGCTAGTTATTTTAAACAGACTCTAGGGGGCTGTTTATTTTAACTCAATTATGAACACATGTGAATGTCTATGTTAGAGTGAATTGTGTATGTGGAGTTTGTCCTGTATTGCAGGAACAGAGGTTTCAGACTGCAAGGATTTTTTTTTCTATCTGTTCCTATATTATTGCTGAATCACTTAAGTGCTGGAAACTGCTGATAGCTGCCTTGTAGGTGGTTTATTGTATCTTGCCATTCCCTTAGGATCCAGTGCTATCCCACTTTGAGATGCATTTTTCAAAAGTACATAATGAAAAATAACTGAAAACTTTACAGCAGAAGGAAACAGGAGAAGAAGAAGAAGCAGGAGGCTCTATAACCAGAGTCCACTTCTTTTGGCATGATCCCAGTCACCGGCTCTAACAAAGAGCTGCTGATATGCACTCAAACACATGGGCACATGCATGCACACTGCTGAGGAAAACAGGAAGGGACAGGATAGCTGGAGACAAATCTGCAAATGCAACAGATTAAAATTAGCTCCAATAGGATATACATTCTGAACCAAAACCCGTGTGGCCACCATGTGACTTTAAATCTATTCCAAATACTCTGTTTCAGTTTCTGATTCATTTTTGTAGTACTGTACTGTATAACTGTGCCCTGAGAGAGATTAGAAGGCCAAGGTCACCCATTGAGTCTTATGCTCCAGTGGAGACTTGAACTTGGTTATCTGAGACCCAATATAATATGAAAACCACTACACACCATACTCTCTTTTCCTTTTGGAAAGCATTTTAGCCAGAATCCAGTATTGTGTATCTAATGGTGGGCACAGTTCTATATCTGTAAAATGGATGAGAGGGTCAACTGCACTCTGAAAAGCCCTGAATATCTATTCCAGAGAATTTTTCAGGCATTGAAATAGAACTGGTGTAGGGGAAAGGAGGGATCACTCCCTCCAGGCTCTGATGGTACTACGTACTGCTTCCCTTGGGAGAAGTAAACTGTTGGATCCTGGCGTCTGGCTAGGTCTTAATACTACAAGGACCAGTAGCAACCTATCCTTGGAAAATCTCCAAGTTTCCCTAAATTTGGTGCACTGATTTTAACACTTCAAAAAAAACTGAAATTCATTCTGAAAACTCTTATTTTCAAAATGCCCCTTTCAGATCTGCAGATAACAAAAATATAATCTCTGAATCCTTTTTAATTGGTCATTTTCAACACAATGTATTTCCTGAGCTTTCGGTAGCTAAACTGTCCATTCCGGATCCCCTTGACGTCCCGGTCGATCAGCTGTATTTCCAGACGGTCTATCTGCTCCCTCTGCTGGCCACCTAGAAGGATGCAAATGCTCCCCACTGCCCCAGCGCAAAATACATCCTGGGAGGATCTTGCGGTTTGCTACCATCGAGGGTGGGTGGGAGAGAACGTCCTAAGGAATAAGTAATTAAAACAATTGGGGCTTGAACCTTAAAACACACGCACAAACAGCCAAGTGATTACTTTGAATTCCAAATAATTTAACATCCAAATACTTTTCAGCTGTCGTGTTTTTTTCCCCAAAGTTTCTAGCCCTTGAGAAATGTAGGTTTGAAGGTGTCCTGGTAATTTTTGGTATGATCTCGGAAGCTTGATAGACTGATGAATGGGATATCTAATAAGCAAGAGATTATTGTTTTAAGACTCTTTCCAATCACTGGGAAAATCATGGGGGGAAAAAACACCTGCCATTTTCTGGGTGGGAGAATTCTGCATCACTATATTCGCAATGCAGATTTTGTATTCTCCTAATTCAAGATCCTGATTTAACAGCAGAATCTGCGCTGCCGCGATCCTAAATCTCCCGAGAACCCTGAGCCCTATTCAGAGCTATCAATCGATCAGACATTGATTCGACGCCATAGTTCTGAACACACTTACAGCGAAGTGGAAATAAACTCCGAACTGCTGGAGTTCTGTAGAACAGGACGGAGTGGCAGGACTCCTCGGCCGTTTAAAAAAACCAAACCCTATTATTCACTTAAAACGACCGTGGGTTTTGTTTTTTTAAAGTTAAACGCTCAGGCGCACACACGTTTCTCTTACACGACAAATTTTATTTGAAACCTTCGCTTTATTTATTAATTTTTTTTTAAACGGGGTGTTTCAAAGGACATGGCTTTAACCACAATGCTCCTTATGGTATTTTTGTCTTGCGCTTCCTCGAAGGCGTCACTTCGCTTCCTCCCCTCAGGCTACACCTTGGTTGTTACCGCTACGACACCCTTATTTTATTTGCGTTTCCAACGGCTTGGCTACATATAAAATCGCCTTCCGTAACGATTGGTCGCAGTCTAGGATTGCGCCGGGGTCGCCTTGGTCCGGCGCGCTGGTTTGGGCGGGAACCGCGATTGCCGAAGCACGCCATGGAGGGGAGGCGGAATGGCGCGCTAGCGGAGAACGGCGGGCGATACCCGAGCAAGAGGCGGCCCAACGGGATCCTCGGGTCGGAGGATGCTGTGGTCAGTAAGGGGGAGAAACTTACTTCTCCCTCCTCTTCTTTTCCTTCTTCTCCCGCCCCCCAAATAAGCCCGATGGCCTCACGCCACCCTCGGGTTCTGTTGCTCCTCCAAGAGTCGGGAAGGCAGTTCCATCCGAGGGAAAGGGAGCCGAATGCTTTGAGCATAGCAGCTCTGGGCATGTGCAGAGTGCTACTGCCTTCCCCACCCAGGAGGGGGAATGTGTTTTTCCCCCCTTTTCTCCCTGTAGACCCTAGCAAATTATATGCTGGCTTCTGCTAACTTTTCTTCCCTTTTAATGTTTTTGCATTTTTAAATTTAGTATAGAACACTCCAACATGAGTATGTCAGGTCAAGCCCTATTCACAAGATTGCCTCTTTTTCTTTCCTTAAAATACTTTTTTCCCTTCTTATTAACCCTTTGGAGCACAGCTTTCTTAGGTTGCACTCCCAAGGGCCAATAGTCATGATAGCTATAGGTTATAACCTCTAGTTTCAGAGTCAGTATGTTGGGGATTTGTGTAGGGGGCAGTAGTGCTGGAAGGATTGAGAGATCCTTGAGGAAGATGCCCCCCGTCCTCCATTCTCACACCCTACTCATGAGAGATCTGATCACTGTGACACCTGCCCTAGTTACTGCCTGGCCGGATTACTGTAATGCAGTCTTTGTGGGGCTGCTGATGGAAAGTGTCAGGAAACCAGCGGGTCCAAAATGCAGCAGCCTAATTGCTGACTCGGCCTGTCCACTGCCTCCTGATCCATTTCCAGAGTATTGGTTTTGACCTATAAAGCCCTAAATGCCCCTGGGTCCAGCCTTTCTCAAATACCATATCTCCCATTATTAGCCAGCTCAGGTGTTGAGATCATCAAGAGAGACTTTTCTCAGTCCTGTCACTTTCACAGGATGGGGACACAGGAAAGAGCCTTCTTTGTAGTTGCTCCCAGACTGTGGAACTCCGTCCCACAGGAAGCCAGGCTGGCACCATCTTTGTTGTCCTTCCACAGGCAGGCAAAGACCTTTCTCTTCAGGCAAGCTTCTCTCTCAATAACTAGGTACCTGTGTGTGATATTTAGGTGGATTGTTGTGCATTACTGCTTTGATTAGACTTTTAGTACTATTTAACATTTTCCATTGTTGTGTTTTCCATCAGACTTTTAGTACTACTTAACATTTTCCATTGTTGTGTTTTCCATCTCTCAGAGTGAAATTTTTTTGTTTTTAATATTTGCATACCTGTTCTTAGCTTTAATATTGCCTTTTAATGATGTAAGCCACCTCTTTATACTTATTGTTTCTTAGCTTTAAATATTGTCTTTTAATGATGCAAACCACCATTGTATAATCATTGTTTTTCAGCTTTAAATATTGTCTTTCAATATTGTAAATTGCCTTGGGTCCTTTTTTAAGGAGAAAGGTGGGGTAAAAATATTTAAATAAATGAATAAATAGGTAGTCCAATATCCTGGTTCTTCCTCATCTCCCAGTGCTTTCTCTCCTCTGCCAGCTTCAGCATTTTCAGTCTTTCATTAAAATGAAAGAAAGATAGACGAAGAAATTGTGCTGCCTGTGGAGAACAGAAAGGAAGGAGTAGCATAGGGGAAAAGAAGGAGAAGGACAGCTGGGTGTGAGAGTATGCCGAGGATGTAGGTAGTGTTGAAAAGCTTTGTTTAAAAGACATGTGTCCTGATTGCAGTTTAAGAGTACAGTGGTGCCTCGCTTAACAATTGCCCCGCATTATGACGAAATTGCTGTACAATGATCTTTTTGCGATCGCAAAACGATGGTCTAAATAGGGGGTTTTTTGCTTTGCGATGAGAAGTTCCCTGCTTTGGGAACCGATTCTTCGCAAAATGATATTTTTTAAACAGCTGATCAGTGGTTTCAAAATGGCCACCAGGTGCTTAAAATGGCTCCCCTCTGTGTTTAGGGATGGATTCCTCGCTATACAGGCAGCGAAAATGGCTGCCATATGGAGGATCTTCACTGGACGGTGAGTTTTTACCCCATTGGAATGCATTGAATGGGTTTCAGTGGGGTTTTTCATTTCGTTTTACGATGCTTTCGCTTAATGGCGATTTTCCTGGAATGGATTATCGTCGTTAAGCGAGGCACCACTGTCTCCAGACTGCAGGGCCTCAGCCCACCCAAATCCCTGGTATCTGGGCTGCAAGGCATCACTTCTACAGGTGCCTGTGGTAGAAGGGTTCTTTTGCACTCATAACCTGCTTGTGGGCTTAGTTGTCCACCGTGTGAACAGAATGCTGGATTAGGTAAATCTCCGATCTGATCTTGCATGGTCCTTTCTGTGTTTGTATGGCATGATAGCTGAGATTGTCTAGTGAACTTCTTTATTTTGCTTCCTGAAAGGGAGGAGTTTGAGTAGCTGAGAACAGCCTAATTGTATGCCACTTGTTTATAAATACTATGCTTTGTTGAACAAATCTATTGTCTGGTTTTGGGCATAACACTTATAAATCTTTTTCTCCCTATTGATACAGAGTTTATAACAGATAAACCGCATATTGATATTTCAGTGCATCGATCAGTAAACATATAAACACAGAGTTAAAAGAAATCCATACAGTATTAGTAATAATATGCTTAGCTGTGTTCTTGTTTCTACTTTCCCAAGTCCTACCACCATGTGGGTCAGCGAATGCAGGATATCACTGGTGATGGAGGAGTCCTGAAGGAGATTATCCGAGCTGGCTATGGTGAAGTGGTTCCTCAGGATGCATCAGTATTAGGTAAAAACATTCTTGTTTTGAAAAGTCTGTGGCTGCCATCCTGAACATGCTTGCTGGAGAGTATACCCCCCCCCCAAAAATGCAGAGCACGGTATAGTGTCAGTCCCCCAGTTGAGGGCCAGACTAACACAGGCAGGGCAGTTAAAGTTGGGCTGCTCCAAGATTGTAACATCAAGTGTATCAAATTCCTAATCAAGTTCTTCCCGACAAAGAAGTGAGATGCAAGAATTGTCCTGACTCTTTGATCTCATTTAATTGTATGTTAATTTTGGAAGCCATTTTAAATTTACACTTGACAGTTAAAAACCTGTGTGCTTGCTGAGGCTGCTGCAGAAAGTGTAGCTGCCAAATCAAATTATCTGCCTTCAGAATGGAAAACTGATTGCACATTGTGAAAAAAATGCAGTGAGCATTGTGATCCCAGGAAGTAGAGCTAGAGGTGGAAGTACCAGGGTTCTGGGAGTTATAGTCCAAAAAAACACCCCTAACTTTTCCAATCCCTTGACACCTTTCTTGTGTGCATGTATTTTTTAATTGTGACACACACACACACCACTTCCACTGTTTGCAGTAAGGAGGACATTCTTTGCACTAACTCCTGGTTCAGTGTCATTTCTCACTGATTGGTGACAGGGACGGTTTTGCACCCCAAATCTTCCTTGCTTCGCCCACACCATACACACAGTCCTTCTACCCACCCACCCCACAACTGCCTCGAGTATTGGAGAGCTAAAGAAGACTACTGTACATATCATGAGGGGCAGGGGAGGGATCCAGGGTCAGAGCTCCCTCTAATCTCAGAGGGGAACTCCAATCTTTCCTGTAATTCCTGGAATGCCAATAATGCATGAATGCATTTGGTGTTGTGTTTGCATTTTTTCCCTTGTAGGAACAACTGTTGAGGGAGGCAACTAGCATAGTTAACCCTTTCTACTTCTGTAGGGTGGATATTCATCCTTAAATTTATGGAAAGCTGGCTCCTTGGGCCAGTTACGGCTGAGAATGGTTGGGTTACCGGGATTGGGGAAGGGAAAAGGGTTGATCCTGTGCATTGTCTAAATTCTAGCCACTCTTGCCCTTTAAAGAATAAGAATCGATGTGTTAAATATAATCATGAGTGGTCTGGTAGTCCAGACAGGCGGGGTACAAATCAAATAAATAAATAAAATGAGGTGCTGCCTCTTTTGAACGTTTGAGAGATTTTGAGGTTTTATTTCCCAAGATGGTTGGCTAGTCTTTTCTATTGTTCCTTGTTCCATCCATTTTAAAATCTGAGTAATGACTGTTATGCCACATGTTAGTGATTTTTATTAATTTGGTCTCTGTAAGTGACAATCATTTTAATTATGGCAAATTTGGATTTTCATATTGGTAGCAAGTGTTTGCTGTTGGCAGTTTTATAACAGTTGTGTTTGGGGGCCAAATTATTTTTTGGTAGGTGGAATTGGTGTTTGGTAAATGGGTTGCCTAACGGAATAAAAAAGCCAGCATAATAATCTTGTCTCAGAACTGCAGAGCAGGAAGGGACCCTCTGGATCACGGAGTCCAGCCCTTGTCACGGAGGCACAGTGGGGGGGAATTGAACTCCCAACCTCCAGATCTGCAGCCAGATGCCTAAACCACTGAAGTGCCCAGCAGTTCATGCATTAATGATGAGACAAAATACAGGATTAGTTTGATGAAAGCAATATGGTGTTTTGTGGTTCCCATTTAGTAAAGTATCTTGAATATTTCAAAAAACCTTAGATGTCTTCAAGAGTGTTTTTTTTTTTTAAATTATAGACTTTAGGAAGGACTTTTCTCTCTTTTAGTGCTACTTCTGGTGGTATTCAGGATTGCTTCTCTTGATAAAGAATCTTATTGCAAACTAAATAAACTGACAGATAACTAGTACTGGTTGAATTTACACTCAGTGGTAGAATTCTGACAAAGAACATGGTTAGTTTTGTTGAAAACAGCACGGTGTTTTGTAGTTTCCACTTAGTAAAACATTGTGCTTCCTGTTAGAGGATTTGATTTGATTTTAGTCATGATACTCTGACTTGCAGATAAAATCATTGGAGGAGGCTTGTTTGAAGGAAGAGCATGAGGTATTTTTATATACATATCAAAAGTGTGCATGGGTTTCAAAGGCGAAGTGATGCTGGTTTGTACGCTGCTCGGCAACGGGGGTTTCTGTGGTTGGCTGACAATAAAATCTAAAACCATTAAAAGTGTGACAGGTGGAATCTAATGTTAAATCAGACCAGCAACAGTATAACACAGCACTTCTGCTAGCATTTGTGGCTTGTCATTGATGCAGAGAGGAGTGTGCGCATTCTACCACTTCTGTCCCAGCCTCAGCTTCCTCAGATCAATTACCGTATTTTTCGCGCCATAAGACGCACTTTTTTTCTAGGAGTGTGCTCATTCTACCACTTCTGTCCCAGCCTCAGATCAATTAATTCCCCACTGTGCCTCCTGTGAGAAATGGTAAACCACTTTTGTGTGTTCTTTACCTTAAAAACCCTGAGAAGGGTCAGCATATGTCATAATTGACTTGACGGCACACCGTTATTTACTATTATAAGTCAGATGCAATTTGATGGCACATGACAAAGAGGATTTGCTCGTACTTGGGTGTTGCCTGTTATTAGTGAAATTATTCAGAGTTGCTAACTGAAATGCATTTACTCTCCTTTCATTTGATGTTTCTCAGTGAAATTTTCGGGCTACTTGGAACACATGGACAGACCTTTTGACACAAACTGCTTCAGGAAGAATCCCAAACTCATGAAACTTGGCAAAGGTAGGACCAGGATAACAATGTATTCCTAGAATGGATTTTGTCCTGTAATGTTCAGAAGACCTGTGGACCCTAGGGAGCAGCTAATAATGCAGTACAGAAACTTCAGAATTAAGTCTTCCCCTCTTTGCCTTTCTAGACATTACCCTTCGAGGTATGGAGGCTGGACTTCTGACGATGAAGAAAGGAGAGCTGGCGCGATACCTGTTCAAGCCCAGTTATGCCTTTGGAGCTCTGGGCTGCCCTCCATTGATCCCTCCCAATGCTACAGTCATGTTTGAAATTGAGCTTTTGGACTTTCTGGATTCAGAGGAATGTGATCAGTTCTTTAACATGAGTACTGTAAGTTTCAGTGCAATAGTAATATGAACTAAAAAAGTAAACAGATCCCTAATTTGGCCTAAAGTCTAGTGTAGGATAGGGAACACTCATCAGCCGTTAGCCAGCAAAGCCAGAGCTGCAGGATGATGGAAGTTACAGGCAATCCAGATCTGTTCTTCATCCTTGATCAACTGTGTAGACCCCCAAATGTTGAATGTGGCACTATTGTGGAACAGTGGGTTGGTTTTTTTCCCCCCTTTCTTGTTATACTTGCTTATTTCCTGTTATTCTTATTGGTTTGATAATTTTTTTATGTTGCAGATATGCAAAGGGAGAAAGAAAGAAAAGGAAAGGGGAAAAGAAAAAAGATGTGTTACGGGAAGGATTTTTTAAAAAGCCAGTTCACACTAGCCAGTTCTCCACTCAAACAATCATCATTGTTTGAGTTCTCCACTCAGACAATCATCAGTTAAACATGTAAATTAACATAGGCAGTTTGTACATTTAAAAAGCGTCCAACTCGAGAACTAATTATATAATTCAGCTGCGATGTAGGTAGCACAAGTAGATGTTCATACTATTGAGTGACATTTTTTTTTTCAGTCTTGGAGTATAAAAAACTTTATAATTCTCCAGGGCTGGAGAATCCATTTGTGCTGTTTCTCAGGCAGTAAAAGAGTGGACCTGGCAAAAAAAGAGTTAACTGCTCCACCTTGAGCAGGCAGGGCCAACAGTCCTGGCTTTGGTGAGAGAGACAGAGAACCCCTTCCCAGTCTTGGTTCTGCTTTCTATTTTTTGTTGCACCCCAACAGCTTCTGGAACAGTTTAATTTCCAGTTTGTTTTTTTGCTTCCCTTCCTGTTGTCATGACTCGCTCAGTTTAGGGAAAGAGGTTCTTGGGAGGGGGCCCCTTCTGCCATCAATTTGGCATCTTCAGTGGTGGTGCTTCAACTGCTTCCTGGCCTTGCTTCATGCTGCTGGGAAGCTGAAAACAAAAATACTGTGTCTGAGTAGGACCCAGTGTATCCAAGCCTCTGAGCCTTGCTCTTTTCGCTCACCAGCAGAGGAGCAGCTTGGCTCTATCATCCCTTTTATGCGGTTCATTTTCTCCCCCAATTTCAGCTGCAGTGAGAGTTCTTCCTGGTGTCTTATCAAACAACCAGCAAGTCCTGCAGTTCTCAATACGTGGCTGGAGTCTATGGATGTCCTGCTATTGGAGTGGCCTCTGGCATTCTGGGTCTATGGGGGCCCACCAACTGCTCTTCTCAGCAGTATAGTGTGGTGGATGCAGGTCTTCAGAGCCAGAGTGACCCTGGTGGCACAGCGACCTTCATTCTTGCATCTTGGGAGTTTTAGCATGACCCAACGGTGGAGACTTCTAGTCAGGGGGATCTGCAGCCATAAAGTCTGCTATTTCAGCTGGATGTGGAGTGGCCCCGTCTCTCCACTTGAGGATCGAGTAACAGAGGCTTCTAGGGAATAGGCTTTCGAATGATTTTCTGGCTTCTAGAAGATTGTTGACAAATAGCATTCGTCAGGTGACTTGTGCTACCTTGCAACACTGGTGAAAGCACAAAGTGTGGATCTGCCCACAGTGCCAGGTTTCCTTCGGGTGGGGTTAGTGCAGGGCTTGCTCATGTGACAGGCACTATTCTTCACATGGTAACCCACCTCCTGCATGGAGCTACTCTTGTGGCACCTCCCATCTGTTTGTCATTTTTGCACCATGGGATTTGACTGGTGCTACAGATGTTGATATGCCCTCCACTTAAGCCCCTGAGCGGGGTGCCTCTCGAGTAAGCGAGTGATGCTTTGGGTGGTGCTAACTTCCACCCAGAGAGTGTGTGTGATGTGAGTCTATAGACCTTTGTCATAAGAACACAGAGGTCCGGTTGACTCCTTGGTGGGGTGAAGTGTGAGTTATGTACACCTGTGTTCCATTTACAGTAGTGCCTCACTTAACAACGATAATCCGTTCCAGGAAAATCACCGTTAAGCGAACACATAGTAAAGCGAAATTCAAACCCCCATTGAAACGCATTGAAACCCGTTCAATACATTCCAGTGGGGTAAAAACTCACCGTCCAGTGAAGATCCTCCATAGGCCGGCCATTTTCGCTGCCTGTATAGCAAAGAATCCGTCCCTAAGCACAGCAGGGAGCCATTTTAAGCACCCGGCAGCCCTTTTGAAACCCCGACAATCAGCTGTTTTAGATCGTCGTAAAGCGAAAATCGGTGCCCGAAGCAGTGAACCGATCATCGCTAAGCGAAATTCCCCCATTTAGACCATCGTTTTGCGATGGCAATTGCGATCGCAAAAAGATCATTGTAAAGCGGATTCATCGTAATGCGGGGCAGTTGTTAAGCAAGGCACCACTGTAGACCTGTTTCACTAAAGCTTTTCTCGAACAGGGTGGCTGAGGTAGTTTGCTTCCTGATATACCAACTTAAGATGGCATAAAAATGGGAAGATGGCAGTTCAGAGAACACAGAGGGGGGAAAAGTGAAGAATAAGGAAGCTTCTCCTAAAGTATCCTGCTTCTACTTCACTGGCTCAGAAGAGCAGCGTACTTCACTGGCTCGGTTATTGGCCAAGGAGCAGAAGTGTTACACAACCTTTTATGTGCTGCATTCTCTTTTTGTACTTCTCTTTCCCACTGGTTATATGGAGAAGGCTAACAGCTGAACTGAATATGAGAAGAGTCTTCAATTAGTCCGATGGTTCATATGCTGCGCTGGAGCGCTGCTCACAACATTCAAAAGAAGATGAGTGGAATCGGAAGAAGGCGGTTGGCGGGCAGGCAGGCAGAGTGGAAGGGAAGGGATAGTTGGCGGGAAGGCAGGCAGGCAGGCAGAGTGGAAGGGAAGGGATTCCTGCAAAGGAAGTGCAGAATTGTGCCGCTGTGAGGTTTAAGGGAACAAACAGCAGGCCACACGTGCAGCCATCAGAGGAGTTGTGGAAACACACAGTCACGTTTTAGGTCTTTTTATACTCCACCTACTCCGACGCCAAAATAGTCCTGTGACACCAATCCCCACTGCTGTGTTCCTGTTGGAGTGGGTCCTGTGACACCAATGTATTTCTGTTCTTCCATCACTGGAATCCCCACTGCTGTGTTCCTGTTGGAGTGCAGTAGTGAGAAGGTACAATTTCTGTGATTTTTAAAGCAACATTAAAAGACAAAACAGCTGCATTCTTTTTCTTTTCCCTGCCTCTCAGTCCCCGTCCCCCCCAAAAAAAAGATGGGGATGCAACATTTGGAATAATTTCATAGCCATATCCTTTCATTGTCTGTTCCACAGCTAGTCCTGTTCAGTGGGGCATCCTGTGTAGCAGGTATGTGGAGGAGTGCTTTGTTGCAATATACAGATCTTGTGGGCAGCATTCAGGTACCCACAAGGATCTCTAAACGCTCACACTCCTAAAAACTAATTAGTACTAACTTGGAGATACTCTTCAGAGGCGAAGTGAGTAGGAGTTAGAAGACCAGCTGATTTCAGAAGGCAGGAGGAATGTGGCAGGTCAAATTTCTTGGCTGTATAGTAAGCTGCTGGATGCTAGAAGTAACCCGCCAGCTGATTTCAGAAGGCCGGAGGAACATGGACAGGTTAGGTTTCTTGGCTGTGTAGTAAGCTGCTGGATGCTAGAAGTAACCCGTATGAAGTGAATAACTAGATTGTACTCATTATTATATGTGTTGTAGATGCCATTTTCATTCATATAGGGGTTAGTTGGGAGCTTACTGTTTTACACATAGACTACTGATAAGATGTGAAGGTTCAGAAAGTTCATTCCAAGTCTTTTATTGGGTAAGGCAACCCCTTGTAATGCAGACCAGGTTGTTCTGTTTCCAGGAACCAGGAGCACTCCATGTTAACTTCAGTACCTGTGCCACATCATGTGTTTGGATATGTGTTATATATAGCTCAGTGAGTAGAGCACATGCTCTGTACTCCCAGTAGGAGAATTGAATAGCAAAGCTCAGAAAAGGCCATTGTCTGTGATCTTAGAAGAGATTTGAGAAACTGAGTTTTTAGACTACAGCTCTCTCAGTCCTTCTGCCAGCATGTCTAGTACCCGTTGAATTGTGGTAATCCTAACATCCCAGAGGAAGGAGGGGGGCAACTTTTCCTGACACTTGTAGACTGCAGCTGGGGCACCAGAATAATAAATTCAGTGTTTGCGCAAGGTCTCATACTTTCAAATCACTTTAGTTTTGTATTGACTGTTACAGCCTCTCATTGAACTGCCCCTTTTTGTATTCACACCCATAGTCAATATTAAGTAAAACTGTCCCTCTCCACCACCCTTACTGCTATAAGATCAAGTTTCTCTGTGTGACTTCCACCTTCAGTTAAAGCAAGCTAAACAGTTTTCCAACTCCACACGTGACAAAGTCTCCATTTGTGTCATATGTTTCTCTTCCCAGTGTATCATTCCAAGTGTGAACTCCTCCAATGACCACTGATAACTCATTTCTCTTACCGGATTATGGCTTCTCTGTACAGGAGCAGCAGGGAACATTTCCACTGCAGAAGGTGTTGAAAATAGCAGCAACAGAGCGGGAATTTGGCAATTACCTTTTCCGCCAGAATCACTTTAAGGAGGCTAAAAAGAGATACAAGCGAGTAAGTAAAGCAGATTAATGGGAAAATGAGTGACAAGAAGTGCATGGAAAAGTAGGCCTACCACTCAACCCCATTACCTTCTTACCCACCTCTATTTTTATCTCATTAGCCCTTTTGGTTGACCTCCAAAAGTCGGAGGAACACTTGAGGAAATGACTTGTCAGGCTTTATACCTGTTAGTGGCCGAAATCCTGTTGTTTAATGTAGTAAATAGCACTAGAGGAGGCCCATTGACTTAATGGAGATTTAGTGAGCCGACTCCTCCATAAGTGCCGTTGATCCAAATTGGCCTACTCTAACTGGGACTTACTATATTGAGCAACAGAATGTTGCCCAATGCAAGTTACAAATTACCGTACGTGGTGCAGCCATGTACCGAATCGGGCCTCTAGTCTGCACCTTCGATTCTGATTGGCAGCCCCTCTCTTCTAGTTGAGCTGCCGGAGATGGAAAATGGGATGTGCTGCAGGCAAAGCAATTAAAGTCCTCTGAAGAAATGCAGAACCAAACGGTTGAGGCTTAGCTAATGGGAGTGGGGGAGGTGGTGTGAGATTGAAGAAGGTGCTCCCTTGGGAAGAGCACCTTTGTCGTTTTATGTAGCACTTACCAAGGTCAGTTTAATCAAAGCCAAATGGAGAGAGTGTCTGTTTGCCAGCTTCAGCTGCCTTCTCTTGGAGATGTGCACGTTCACTAGTATTAGAATGTTCTGATGAAACTGGGTTTGGGTCGGCTGCAGGGTGTCACTGTTGTTGCCAAGAGGTAGAGGATATAGGAATAGCAGTGTAAATCTAAAATGGGCCTCATGTCTACGGCTGTTAATCCATCTCGATGTTAGTCAGAATTGCACTCTTTATAAACTCAGAAGTCTCTACCGCTACTGTGAGGTCTCTATGCATAAGTTTGTAGAGTAGACTACAGTGGACCCTCAACCTACGGAATTAATCTATATTGGAACGGTTTCTGTAGGTCAAAAAGTCTGTAGGTCGAAAATGTTCCGTGGGTCGAAAAGTCTGTAGGTTGAAAAGGCTTTTCCCATAAAAATGCATTGAAAACCATTTAAGAACCCCCCCCCCCACACACACACAATAAAATAAATAAAACTTACCTTTCTGAAGATCCATGATGCCCCCCCCCACAAAAAAATTTAAAATAAATAAAACTTCCCTTTCTGAAGCCTTCCAGGGGTCTCCCACCGCTGCCACTGCCGCTGCCCAAGGGCTTCTCCGCCACTGCCGGAGGCCTCTTGGAGGTCCCCCCCACCGACGCAGGCTTTCCCAGGGTGGATCAGGCCTACCGGGGAGGGCTTCCCCCAGTAGGCCCGGTCTATGGCTCGGGAAAGCCTGGTAGACCGGGCTTACCAGGGGAGGGCTTCCCCCAGTAGGCCTGGTCTACTCCCCAGCCTTTCCTGGGCAGTAAACTGGGCCTACAGAGGGAAACCCTCCCCTGGTAGGCCCGATCCACCCTGAGAAAGCCTGTGTCAGTGGGGGGGGGAGGCCCCTGGAAGTCCGCTGCTGGGAGCCAAGCCACGCTGGGCGATCCCGGCCATGCTCTGACTCCTAGAGAGGCCTCAGGCGGGAAAGGCCTCCAGAGGTCCCCTGCCACCACTAGGAGCCGAGCCACGCTGAGCAATCCAGGCCGTGCTCTGATTCCTGGACTTCCCCCGCTGACGCTGCTGTCCGAGCGTGGCGTGGCTTCCAGCAGTGGCGGTGACGGGGGAAGTCCAGGAGTCCCAAGCATGGCCGGGATCGGCTGGGGGGGCGCGGCGCCCCGCCGCGG